AGCATAAAATTTTTGGCAATCGGAGTAAATGTCACGTGGTTATAGTGCCACGCCTCTTTGGGGTCTGAGTCGAAATTCTGCTGTTGCCGGCATTTGTTCGTGAAAATCTCTCGGCTAGATATAGTGCACATTAGTGCCTTGCGCTAAACAGAGTTTCACCAAAATCGCGAAGACCCAATGCGAGAAATTCAGCGGTTTCCAAATTTAGGTCATAATTTGTTTGAAAATGATAAGCAAACTTTACACGATTATATATAATAAACTATGAGATTTATCCTTTTATTTTGGGAATCTTTATATCAGATGGGTCCTTGCAAGTCAGAAAAAGCTTTAGGGCCTTACAAATGCGCGCGATTTCGAGCAATGCAAACGTATAGAAATTATAGTTTTAGCTATTTGTTGACGTTTGTCAGCGTCTAAGAGTCCTTCTCAAGAAAAAAGCATTTTCTTAAAAATTCGTAGTTATATTTTTCCTTCAAATTTTTTCAGGGCCACAATTGATTAACTAACAACTTGGATTCTGAATTTCATGGTCGTTGAAAAACTGTGACAGTGTCTTCTAGAAGCCCAGACTTGAGTAAACATTGAAGATTTTTAGCGTTTTGGCTGAGTTTGTGCTTTGGGAGTCTTCTATTGTTTCTATACAGCATTCTTGTTCAGTACGCGTGCAATGACCGCGCTTGGCTGACTTCCGAATGCTCACCGAGAAAAGTGCGCTGTTCGCAGTCCCTACAAGCGCTATCGCGCCCATATTGCCACTGTATACTATATCTCTAGGGACCCTCTATCACAAAATCCTCCGTCAGCCCCTGTTGAAGTACAAACTAGGGTTTAGCAAACATGAAGCAAGCAAGTAAGAAGAAAAAAGGCCATTTGTACGATGACGTCATTTTACGACCAAAACCTTAAGGGTTTTGCTTTTTTGTACAAATAAGGGCTTTTGACCTCCCTGGGATAACAAAATTCAAAAAGAGATATACTCGAAATACGTGTATCGCAGAACCTCGCGAAACTTGGGAGTAAAGTATCTGGGATGGAAGGGGGGAGAGAATTGAAGTAAATTTGTGTCGGCTGGAGAAGGCGGGTTTGAACACACTACCTCTGCATTTGCTTAAAAGCTAACCCGAGCCATGTTTGAACAGATTTTGTAAAGCTCTCGCGTCGCTATTAATCATTTGCCCAAAGAAATAAGTCGTTTGTACGGCGCTGGTAACTGTTGGCTACCATTCAGTGGCGTTTGTTCCAAGTTAGTAAACCAGCTTTCTAAAGTCAGACGTTGATAGTAGTCTGTAGAATACGTTTTACATGTCGCAGAGTCCCAGTCAATTTGATGTTTCGTCTGTAAATATCCTTGAAAATAGCGAGATCAGACAAATTCCTTGTCCAACACCATTTGCGCTCTGCCCTCCATCGTTCTTCCCGGGCATCCCTGATATCGTCATTATCATCATTTGCAACGAGTAGCTGTCAGCGGGTTTATCCTTCTCAAAGCGCAAAATGTGGCCAAAGAACTTGAGCTGACTTGAGATGACCGTCTATAGCATAAGGATAGTGCCAGTGAGATCGTAGATTCGGACTTTTGAGACTTTTTCCAGACCTATGGTGTCCAACATGATTCTTTAGTATGAGGTGGCAAAAGGATTTATGCTGGCTGCTGGTTCCACGGCGAGGGACAGTTGCACCTGAGCTCTTTCGATGGAAGATTCCAGAAGGCATATCTCGCCAGCATAGTCAATGTCATTTACGAACTTTGCCTGATGCATGGTTGACCTCCTGGATGTGTCAATAGGCCGCTATTATGACCTTTAATGGTGGCCTAGAACATAGTATAGACTAAGACGACAAAGAAGAGAAATGGGGCGAGGACGCCCCCTTTGAGCACACCGGTGGTTACTTCGAAGCTCTCGGACATACGGCCATCAACTAAAACGGCAGTGTTTGGAACTGTCACGCAGGAATCTGATTGCACTAACGATCTTAATAGGATGACATAATGGCGCAGTATGCAAACATTGACTCTTGGTTGATGGAGTCAAAAGCCTTCCTTCTATAAATTTGGCCACTAGTGGTAACTGTTTTGCCTGGAAGGCTTCAATAATTCGTCAGAGAGTGCGAATCTCTTTTGTGCAGCTGCGCCCACGTCTGCAACCGGCTTAGTTGCACCTTAGGACTGGATCTATGAAGATTTGAATTCCATTTAGTAAGATCTTATTGTAGGCCTTAGCGCAGATAGACACAAGGTTAATCCCACGATAGTTTTTCATCAGGTACAGGTCACCCTTCTTTTAGTTGGGGACAATAAGGTTAGTGATCCACTGTTCCCGGAGTATCTTCTTTGTATATACCTCGAAACAGAAGCTGTGAACAACGGAAACATGGCTTCACCCTCCATTTTCTGGACTTCAGGTGTGATGGGGCAGTCTAGTCCAACTGCCTTGTTCAACTTAAGAGACTTGATCGCCTTTTCATCTCTTCTAATGGAGGTTAGGCTGTGTTGATTGGGAGAACCGATTCATCTGGCGGTGGTCTAGCAGTATCAATAGCGGTGGTGTTGTTCAGAAGAGTGCTACGGTACTTCTTCCATTCATTGAGAAGTTCTTGGTGACTAATTGGGTCACTCTTGTCCCTCTTTTTGACCCGTTCAGATCCTTCAATCTCTTCCTGGAGGCTGCTGTGTTAAAGAGCAGGTACTTGCTTTTGGTGTCATTTCGAGCTTCTCGCAAGTCTTCTGTTTCTTTGGAGACCATGTATGGTAAGCCATTTGAAACCCACTTGGCAACTACCTCCTCTGCAGTGCTTCTTGTTATACTTTAAAACTGACTGGACCTGATGATGATTAGCTCATCATTTGGGGTGGAGGAAAAGCTGTTCGATAGCTTTAGCAGAAATGCTGATGTCAGCACAGAATTCGCGATTCTCTTCCAATTGTACTATTAGCGACTTACAGGTTTACCTTTTGTAGTTCCAAGACTTACTTTAAAGTCACAGTTAGAATGCGTTGGTCGGAGTCGAGCTCTACACTATTGTACGTTCTATAATCCCTGACAGAGTTAGTCCCTGGATTGATCAAGTCAAAGGTTAGTTGCAAAGCAGAAATTAAGAAGTCTTTCGCCGTTAATGCTTGTTGTGAGGACCCACAACTCTCAGAGCTTTTACGTGATTGCCTTGGCCTAGTTTAGCGTTTAAACCTCCAATAACAAGATCAATATCGTTACAGTTGACCTTGTCGGATGTATGGGTGTTGAGCAGGTTGTAGAATTGATACTCATCGTCGGTGTTAGCCGACTCTTTTGGAGCGTAGACTATTCTAACCACGAGTTTCGGGTTGCCGTAGAAAAATACAGAGATGATGCGGTCCGAGAGGAGTTTTGAACAGGAGATGCTTTTGACCAATTGTCTTTTAACAAGGAGGCCAAGGCCACCTTTTCGGCATTTGAAAACGGGATTTTGGATGAACAGCTACCAATATAACTTGAAGATCGTGGGCGTTCCACTTATCTCAGAAAGAGAATCTGCACAAGACACCGCGGAGTTGTGTGTGAAGCTATTTTCTGGCCTTAGAGTCGATGTCTCCATATCAGAGATCGGCATTGCCCACAGGGTTCCACAGCGAGATACTTCAACCGGTAATGGCAACCGAAGACAACCGAACCCGATAATTTGCAAATTCACTAGAAGGATGACACGAGACACAGTGCTGGCGTCAAGAGGTAACGCCAGTCGACTAACTACCGAGGACCTGGATCTCCCGTCCACTGCTGAAATTAATCGGATTGCAATTTACAGCCACCTCACGCCGAGACTACAAGAGCTGTTACATTCAGCGAAGGCGCACCAAAACACATACAACTACAAATGGTGCTGGGCAAAAGGCGCAGCAATCTTCCTACGCAAAACGGATTCTTCTATGACGATTCGTCTGAGGTCGATTGACGACTTAACTAAGTTAAGACTGCGTGAACGCCCTGAAGCTCGATCGGAGGATCCTTGCAGCTAAGTTAAAACTACTATTATGTTTTAGTAATTAGAGGATGTTAGCATCGACAACGAGTTCTAGAACGAGATCAGCGATTTTGCGTACTGGGCATCCGTTCTGCGCATCTCCACGTTTTCAAGTCGTCCTGTCAAGTAGCACTACGACGAGTTCTCACCAAAAACTCGAAGTGGGTAGAACGACTCGGAAGAACTGGTTTTCAAAGGTAAATTCCGATCGTTTAATGCAGTTTCTTTTCGTTTCTAGCCTCTCTTTATCATCTTGAACATTCCTTATATTATGTTTTATGTAAAATACTGCTTTTGAAGTCGAGGAAAAGCAACCGAACGCGATGTTTCCTAGACAGAGTAAATTTGCATTTACCCGGGAAAGTCTCTCCACAGGCCTCACAGGCGCACGAATTAACCCCGAAAATTGCCATTATTTGGTCGAAAACATCTCAAAAGTCGAAGATATCAATAAAGAATACTTACTTCTTTATCCAGTGTGGTTGTTGTGTTGAATTTGTCGAAAAATCGATTTTCCTTTGAAAACTGGTGGATGGACCGTCGGGCTCTCAAAACACACTAATACTTCACAAATTCACACAAGAACCACACTGGATAAGGAGGTAAGTATTCTTCATTCATATCTTCTTCTGTTGGGATATTTTTCGCCACATAATGACATTTTTTATTTTCTATAAACTCGAACTCGGTGTCATCGCTAACGTCATGCTAACATAGAAAGCTGAGAAAACGACTTCGAGTACGAGTACGGCTTGAAGTCGTTCTCGTACTCGTACTCGTTGTTGATGCTAACATCCTCTATTATCGAACTAGTGTTCCCGTTTGGGAATTTCTGGGATGACTTAAAAACCCTTCATGAAGCGAACGAGTCATAACACTACTTGTAGAGAGCTTAACCAGCAGACGTTCTTAAGGTCACGAACGCCGACCCGAAGTCACTCGCGCTAGTGTGAACGTACTGCGCATGTGTCGGCGTCCGCGAGGTCAGGTCGCCGACGCCAGAACGCCACTTTTGAAGTTCAAGATAGAACGCGAGATTCTAGTATTCGAAAGTTCGCGTTTGGGTGAGAATTATTCCTAAATTGTTGGCCTACAACCAAGGAAAAACCCTTCTGCTATTTTTTGGGTGTTTTCAGAGACGTAAAAACCAGGTTAACAGTTTCCAACTCTATTTTTGGACTCGACAGGTTGACCCGGCTAGCTCTGGCTGGCTGCAGAACTGGAAGATGGCAAGATTTACGGGATTTACGTAAGATTTACTCAGTTTTAGTCTATTCGAATCGTCGTCAAGTGAACTCACGTCTTATTTAAGCGAGCTTTATCTTCTTGCAACTTCAAGCGCCGATAATTTCGACTGTATAATTTGATAGTTTGTTTACAATGAAAAAAATTAAATTAAAATGTTATGACTCCTCACTGTGTGTTTTTGTGCATTGGGTTGATTATATTTATATCCTGTAAACGTACTTTTAGCTAGACGCCTGTGATATTTGGCGCAATCGACTTTGAAAATAAATAGCAAACTAAGCCTCATTTGTGGTTAATGAAACTGCAAATAAAATGGGCTGCTAAACGTCGCTGTCATGTATGGTAATTTTGGTTTGCTCGATTAGTGTCTACACAATCAAATAGAACAAGACGGCATTTCAAGCTTGGCAAATTAACGTGAAAGGTGAAGTTTTGATATGAGAATGGGACAAAGAAAATGTACGAGTTACTTTCGGCGACAAAGATCTTTCTGAATTTCGAAATGCTAGGTCATGAGTGAAGACATTTCAAATAGCTAAAAGTAAACACAGACAAGACGTCCGTGACTCGCTTTATACCAAAAACCGTTCATTGCTTAATCTTCGCTTTTCGTGCCACAAACGCCGTAGGTAGTTTCGAAAACGAAGCACTCGAAAACGAAGACCGAAGCACGAAGCACCCAAAACTCGAAAACGAAGCACCCAAAACTCGAAAACGAAGCACCCAAATCTCGAAAACGAAGCACCCTAGATCGAAAACGAAGCACCCTAAATCTCGAAAACGAAGCACCCTAAACCTTCGAAAACGAAGCACCCAAAACTCGAAAACGAAGCACCCTAGATCGAAAACGAAGCACCCTATCTCGAAAACGAAGCACCCTAGATCGAAAACGAAGACCCCAAAATCTCGAAAACGAAGCACTCAAATCTCGAAAACGAAGTACCCAAAACTCGAAACCACTGTAGGCTGTACGTCTTGCATGACGCAATCCGAATCAGGTGGAGGCAGCGGATGCGTCCGCACCTCCAAAGGTCCACAAAATCCACCCCAAGGTTTTATAAGAGCCTGCCAACTGTTTAACTGAACGTTTCTAGATGGGATATAGTGTATTAATTTTATTATTGGTCTCGCTATACTTGATACATCTTACCTTAATATGCGTTTTTTCGGTACACATGCATGTTTATGTAGACT